GTCATCTCAGATTGAGGTCCTCAGTTCGTCTCAGCTTTCATGAGCGCGGTCTTCAAGAAGCTCGGGATCAAGGCAATGCCCAGTACAGCGTACCACCCTCAGACAGATGGTCAAACCGAGCGCCTCAACCAAGAGATCGAGCAGTACTTGCGTCTCTTCTGCAACAAGCAACAGGATGATTGGTCAGAGCTCCTCCCCATGGTGGAGTTCGCAATCAACAATCGCGTGAACATGTCTATCCAACAAATGCCCTTCTTCAACGCACATGGCGAACACCCGCGCATGGGCTTTGAACCTGTGTGCGAGAGCAATGTGGAAGCAGCAAACACTTTCACAGACCACATGAAGGAAGCTTTGCCGGAAGCGCAGTCAGCAATGCAGAAAGCGCAAGAGGATATGGCGCGCTACTACAATCGCGGCAGATACAAAGGCACAGAGTTTGCTGTGGGTGACAAGGTGTGGCTCAGTTCAAAGAACATCACGACTACGCGCCCCAGTTGCAAACTAGACGACAAGTGGCTCGGCCCCTATGCGATCATGCAGAAGCTGTCCAAGAACGCGTACAAGTTGCGATTACCAGCGCACATGAAGATCCACCTGGTTTTCCACATCTCTCTCCTGCGTCACTTCAATCCAGACACAATCCCCAATCGCGTTGCGCCACCTCCACCTCCGATCCGTTTGCACGGACAGGAAGAAGAGGAGTATGAAGTTGAGCATATCGAAAACTCAAGGCTTCATTATCGCAAGTTGCAGTTCCTGGTCAAATGGAAGGGTTACACACGCGAGAACAATCTCTGGGTTCCCGCGGAAAACCTCAAGCATGCGCCGCGCATTGTAGCCGCGTTCTACCGCGACAACCCTGATGCACAGCACGCACTCCCCGTGCAGCAGTGACCTGTGCACGCACGTGGACTCATCGACCAGTCTATTATGCCACCCGACTTCTTCGAACATGCTGCCGAGTGTCATAAGCAAGCTATGGAGGCGTTGGTGTTAACGATAGGAGTTGACGACACTCTTCCGGATGAGCGTACATGTGCGCGGCTGGCGCACGCTGAAATGCGCAAGTCAAATCCAGTTGCGTCGAGGCACCACATCTAAAAGAGGGGGGGGGGTACTGTCAGGGTCCCACAATATTTCCATTCCTTTTCCATTTCTCCTGCTGTTTACCCCTGTATGCTACCAAATAACCTCGCACGTCGGTTCCCAGTATCTGTTTACATATGTCTGTGTCTTTGTTTGGTCTTGTTTGATAGTCACACTAGCTTGATATTTGCGTCAGTCCATTGGAACTCAGCTCCCCAGTCTTGTTCTCTTTGGATTCCCACTTCTAGGTTTAGCTCATGTCCCCTCCCCTTTTCCACACATAATAATGACTTCGGATTCCTGCTTCTAGTGCAGTCCTCTCAGTCCATCACTCATCAAGACTCTTGGTGGTTGGGTCTCAGCACCCCCTTTGTCATCAGTCACAAATCCAACAATCTACCCTCACAGCCGTGCTCCCAGTGTTGCCCTGACAAACACTTCATCAAGGCACAGAATGACAGCCTCCTGAATGTGCACACAAAGATGGTTCTGCAAAATAGCTACTGTCATCAACTCAAGGCACAGCTGGGCGCAGAGGAGAAGAAGAGGAAGACAGTGAAATCCAAGAAGACTCACCTTCATAGTGACAATATGCCATGCATACTAACTGATGATGCCTTCTACCAGAGTGTTGTTGCAGTGGAACTGGCCACCAAGCGGGAGGAGAATCAGCCGCTGCAACAGATGGCTGCTTGCGAGGCTTACAATTGTGCAGTTGAAGAATGGCAGCACAATGATGATGCCCGGAAGCAGAGGAACATTGCTCTGCAGCAATGGTATGCAGATCTGAAGAAAGAGTGGGAGGATGAGCGAGATTGTGCAAAGAGGGCCAAGACAAAGCGTCGATGGAACCTACCAAAGTGCCAAGGATGTGCCTTGGGGTAACGGAAGTATTCTGGGGTCTCGGAGGTAATCCGGAGGTAGTCGGATTACAACTGAAAGGTTGGAGAGTACAGTGCACTATTGAGGCACACTGTGCCAGGGGCCGGAGGAGTTCAGAGTCGTATATGAGGATGAACGGTGAAGATGTAAGTAGGCGGAGTGAGGTCTGGAGTTGAACACAAGACACAGGTGACTTCCGAGGAGTTCCCAAGACTTCTACTTGCAATATGAGATGACATAAAGTCAGAGCTACAGTATTGGAGAGGCCAAGGTACTAACAACGAATGTTGGACGAGTGCAAGTAGAAGACAGAGACAAGCCTATTGTCAATTACGAACTTAGGAAACTCATAAGTACACTCGGAGGCATATATATATAATTTTGGAGGTATCAGGCAGTGCTCCGAGAGTGTCCATGGAGCACATGTACGGAGAGATGGGAACATGGGATGAGACAAAGTCCGTGATATGATATACGAGATGATTTGAAAGAACAGATCCGAATGATATCGGGGCAGACCCTCAGATGATGTATCATCCATCATTGGGCCCGCAGGATCAACCGGAGTCCGGCCAATGATGGCAGGTGCTCAGCCCAAACGCTTAGCCATGTACCAAGTCCGAAACCTTGGAGGGACACGGAGGCCAGGGCAGGAGTCCGATACATATTGGAGTACACGGAGTACATCAGAGAAGACTGGAGAACATATGGGAGTGTTCGGAATGGGACTTGAAATATGAGTGGTGGAGGCACGGAATTGGCATGTCCAGAGGCTATGGATCATGAAAAGCCGGGAGACATCAGGATGAAATAGGAGTGTGATCTGATGATCAGGAGTTGATTCTACTGTGATACAGTGACCAAAAAAACCGTTCAGATGTTTCGGAAATTTCCGCCGCAAGTCACACCACTCCCCACAGCAGCAACATATACCCTCCTCCATTTATTTCTAAATACTGTCATATGTGTACTATAACTTGTACATTTGCTATTTGGGACAAATGTCAAAGGAAAATATCAAGAGACTTTTCAAATCCAGTGCGCGCATCTGAACGGTTTCTTTGCAGGCAGGCTTGACCCACCTCATCAACCTATCCAAACAGAACGCAGTGTAATGAACTCTCACGGTTTGCTTGTGCATGTTTATTAATCACTCTTCTCCTCTCCCCACCATGTCATCTGCTCTTGCTCTTCATGCGTCCCATCCCCACAGACACCATAACCCGAGTACTGCACCTCCTCGACAAGGGGGAGTCACTCCGTGCTATCTCGTGCCAGACTCACATTAGTCTTGGGAAACTATCCGATATTCGCTCTGAGCACCGCCCAGATGCTGTGCTTCAAGTGGGAGGACGCCCACGCAAGGTTGATGACACGACACTGCGACGGGCCCAGCGCATGATCACCTCGGGCAAGGTCGATACAGCTACCCAAGCAACACGTGCTCTTCAAGACATGACCAACACCACCTTCACACCTCAGTCCCTTCGTAACCACCTCAAAAAAAGTGGTCTCAAGGCTGTGGTGAAGAAGAAACGCAACTTCATCTCTCGGCAGAACAAGATCGACCAACTCAACTTTGCAATCGCACATCGCCACTGGACTATCGATGACTGGCGACGTGTTGTGTGGTCAGATGAGACCAAAATCAACCGTATGGGGTCTGATGGGCGCAAGTGGGTGTGGAAGCGCCCTGGTGAAGGACTCAGCAAGCGACTTGTTGACCAGAAGGTCAAACATGGCGGTGTCTCTCTGGGGCTGCATGACATACTCTCATGGGGTTGGCACCTGTCACAAGATTGATGGCACCATGGATGGTGATGTCTATGCCAGAATCATGGACCGTCACCTTCCAGCAAGCTGCAAGAAGTGGCGGGTTCGGCTTCGGGATGTCATCTTCCAGCAGGACAATGACCCCAAGCACCGCTCAGAACCTGCTCAAGACTGGTTTGCGGACCACCAGGTCAATCTACTGCCCTGGCAATCCAACTCTCCAGACCTCAATCCCATTGAGCACCTTTGGTCTCACCTTAAAACCCGCTTGGGTGAGCATGCAACCTACCCCAAGGGAATGCTTGAACTCTGGGATCGTGTTCAGGATGAATGGCAGAAGATACCACTCAATGTTGTGCAGAATCTCATAGAAAGTATGCCTGACCGAGTTGAAGCTGTAATTAAAGCGAAGGGAGCCTGGACCAAGTACTAAATGTAAATTAGTTTGCCTGCAAAGAAACCGTTCAGATGCGCGCACTGGATTTGAAAAGTCTCTTGATATTTTCCTTTGACATTTGTCCCAAATAGCAAATGTACAAGTTATAGTACACATATGACAGTATTTAGAAATAAATGGAGGAGGGTATATGTTGCTGCTGTGGGGAGTGGTGTGGCTTGCGGCGGAAATTTCCGAAACATTTGAACGGTTTTTTTGGTCACTGTAGGAATGATGTGGTAGCACTCAAAATAGGGGTCCGATGCGGAGATAAGTGGTCCGAAAATGTCGGAGCTGACTCAGATGAGGTTCAGGATAAGTCCTAAAATGTCGGAAGACCTCTGAGGGATTCAGAACATGAAAGGAAAAATTGGATGACCTCGGAGGACATTAGAAAAGGGTCGGAGAGGATGCCAGAGGGTTCGGATGGCTCGGGAGAGGTTCTGGTGCATTGGAGAAGGTTCCGGGTGGCACGGAGTGTGACAGGGTTTCTTTGAAGCACTAGATGGTGCTGTGATCGATGAACTAGGGCATGGATAGGCTGCCTTAAATGTTACAGAGGCCCTCAATGTAATAATTACATGTGACAGCAAGTGAAAATGGGCAAAAGCAGTGGTACATGTCCTGCATATGTGTGGATATTGCAGGTTGGCCCACAAGTCGGCTGGCTTGACATTTAGCTGTCTTCCTCATGCAAGATTGATAAATGCGGAAAAGGGGAGGAAAAGTTCATTATGCCGCGGTGGCCGCTAATGGTTGGTAGTGCAAACTGATGCCACCCGTGGTGATGAATACGGCCAACTTGACATATTTCTTTAGAGACACTATGGCCGAGTGGTTAAGGCGTTTGACTCGAATTCTCAAGCTCATCAAATGGGCTCTGCCCGCACAGGTTCAAGTCCTGTTGGTGTCGTTACTTTTGTTCTCTGCGGGTTTAAATCAGAGCAAGTTGGTGCTACCCCGGGGCGCAAAGTCAAAGTTTTTCAACCAACATATCAAACACGCTATAGTACAACGCAAAGTACAATCAATCGGCACCTTTGTTGTCGGTATGTGAAGCAGCATCTCGACCATTGTTGTCTGCTGTGTCAGACTCGCGTGACGGACCGGGTGGCGATGTTCCGCCAGCGGCAGGAGAAGCGGGGCGGTGCACACCGTACCAGCCGTGTGGAGGAGGATGGGCCATGAAGGCGGGGTTGGGCCAGTAGTACGGGTCATACGGTTGACCATACGGCGCAGCATATCCGGCGGCGTGCGGCGGCGGCGGGTAGCCCTGAGCAGGAGGCGGATAGCGAGGGTAAGCTGGCTGGTGCTGCGCCTCATTTGCATTCCCGTTAGCAGATGCAGCGGCGTTGGTGGCTGCCGTGGGAGGAGTAGTCGAGTTGGACGGTGCCGGAGCACCATGAGGCGGGGGCGGGGGCATATACCCATAACCCGGGCCGTACGGATACATGCCATATTGAGGATACGGGTGGGGCGGCATGCCTGGGTGTGGTGGGTAGGACGGTGCGCCAGGAGTGTGCGGCCCATGGGGCGGCGGCATGGGCGGACGCTGAGCATGAGCGTAATGAGAGGGGTATGCGCCATGAGCGTATGGATCAGGCCAGTGCTGGGGTGGAGGCGGTCCATAAGGATGACTGTGGGACGAAGGTGGGGGGGCCGGAGGAGCATAGTGATTCGGCGGATGCGGGGGCATGGGTGGGATGTTGTTCTGTGCCGAAGCGTTCGTAGCGGGCGGGTGGTGTTGAGAAATTGGCGGGTTTGACTGCTGTGACGAGGATGGAGCCGAGTACGGCGCGGCATAGTTCTGCGCATAGGGAGCCGGCACAGGAGGGACCTGGGGCGGGATAAGCGGACGTGGCATGTCCGCCGATGTGGGATTGGCCGACGGGATGGGAGCTGCGAGAGGGGCTGACTGGGGCTGGGGTGCCGGCGGCGCGGACGAGTCTGAGGGGGTCGCCGGTTCACCAGCTTCGACACGTCTGCGCTTGGCCTCGCTAGCTTCCCAGTCGAGCTGGATTTGGCTAATGGCCTTGCGCTTGCGGGGCTGGCCACTTGCCGTGTCGAGCTCGTTGTCATCTGGGTCCTCAATGGGGCCGAGGTACTGGATGGGTTGAGCCTGGCGCCTGCCGCGGACGTCCTTACGGATGCGGATCTTGATGCCTTGCTCCGCAAGAGATATAGAAAGCGGGGTAGACTCCTCCATGCCGGGGAACTTCTTTGCAGAGTAGACATAGAACGACTTTGAGTAGATGTGTTTGCAATACATCATTTGGTCGCCGACGATCTCGAACAGTGTGAACTTGAGGCGGTAGGTACCCTCTGTGCGCACGCTCAGGTCCGGGAAGACGAAGAGGGCAGCGTCTGGGTGGTCCTGGCTGTTGACCTTCATGTGGTACAAGCTGCTCACCGTTGAGCCAGTCGTGGTGACAGTTTTGCCGTCCTTGAGGTGGTGCAGCTCCTCGTCGCGGTCAGGTGGTGTGAGGGTTGCGAGCATGACATAGTAGGGGTTCTGGTGATACGACTGAGCCTGCTCGCCGCTGCCGTCGTCGTTCATCTCCAGCTGCACAATCGGCGGCGGGTCAATCGGGCGCCGGTCAGCTGCGCACAAAAAGTCATGTTAGCACACCGCTAAGCCTTGACTAGACCGAGTCGCGCGCACCCTTGCCCCCAATGCCGCACATGCGCGCCTGCCGAACACGCATGAGCTCGCACCGACACATGCCACATCGTACTCACCTGCTTAGGCTCTTGCAGGATCGTCAGTTTGTAGTCGTGCACGTTGCGCTCTTCCATTGTCGTTCGCGCAGCCGGTGCGTGGTCACTGCCTTGTTATAGCGAAAGCGTGCTGAAGGAGGGGAGAAGAACTTGCGGGACGGATTTGCATCCGAACACGTCCTTGCACTCCCACGCACGCACTAGGCCCTGATGCAGACTAAAATACATTTTGAAACCAAAGTAAATCTCATGCTGTGTGTGTTAAACTCGGCTGTCGCGTGCTTTGGAGCTCTTCGTGTCTACTCGCACATACTCGTCCTCTATATCACCACCTTCTTTCTTCACTGCACCGTACGCCTCGCCGAGAATCTGCGACGACAAATTAAAGGCGGACTCGAGCAAGGCCGACGCCAGTTGCTTACCTGCAATGCGTGTGCTCGCAACTCGAGCTTGCTGACGGGCACGTTCGGTTGCTCGAGAATACGATCGCAAGTTTCGCGCAGAATCGACTCGATCTCGAGCCTTGTACCCTTGAAAAGCGCTTGAAGACCCTGTGTGAAAGTCGTCAGATTGTCGTTCTTGGCTGCGTCTGTTGTGTCACCTTCTCTGCAGCCTGCTCTTCTAGCTTCTTGCGCTCCTCTGGGGTCGCACCAGACTTTTCGGCCGCAGCTATCTGATCAAACACACTCTTGACCTCCATCGCCGATCTGAGTGTGGATACTCTGCACCAGATGATTGTCAGTGTGCGGCGCAACAAAACGGTAAAGGTCATGCCACGAACGTCTCACTGAAAACGTGATATTTGCCCTGAACGTTGTGCAGCCAGCCACCGACACCCATGAAAGACTGCGAGCTCGCGATAAAGTGTTTGGCCTTTTGTATGTAGACGAAGCCGATAGTCTGGAGTAATTCAACGCCGTACGACTCGCGCTTGAGCTCTCTGCAGATAAAAAATGAGCATATCGGGGCTTGCGAGAAGACGGATGAACATACTCTGCTTCGAGTTGACATATGCTACGCCAACTGGCGGTGACCTCACGGTCGTTGACTCCTGTAGCTGACTCGGTGTAGATGCTGAGCTTCCGATCGAGGTTTTCAACTGTAAAACAGGTGAGCTTTAAGCACAGATGGGGCTACTGGCTCACCAAGCTGAGCGACGCGCTCCTCGCGCACTTTGGCACGCTGTGGCAAGACACGCCGCACGTGAGCGAAAGCAACGCGTTGTAACTGGCAGGTGCGGACACACCTCTGCTGCAACAGCACGGGCCTTGGCCTCCTTCTTTGCCCGTTCTTCTGGACTGAGGGCAGGCTTGGTCCGGGCGGCCGGAGGGCGGGGCGAGGCGGAGGATGATGGGCCAGCGAGCGAGGTCTGGTCTGCGGGAGTTTCAGGGTCAAGGTCGTCGTCTGCCTCCTGGAGGGCTGTCTTCATGTCATGGGCGAGGGAAATGTGACCGATGATGGGAATAAAGCGTTCACCGCCAAAGATGGCGCCAAAGACCTCTTCAGGATCAACAAAGCCACCCTCTGGCGCGCTCTCCTTGGAGCCAAACTCGTTGTACTTGCGACGGAGATCCGGATCGCTTAGGGTCTGGTATGCGATGGCGATCTGCTTGAACTACGTGTAACGGTGAGAGGTCAGTGGGTGTGGCGCAGGGTGAGCGGGTTGGCTATGGAGGACATACCTTTTCCTCGGCATCGGGGTCGTCTCTGTTCTTGTCAGGGTGAAACTTGATCGCAAGTCTGCGATACGCCTTTTTGACGTCATCTGTGGTTGCAGTTACAGGCACACCAAGGATATCTGGTGCGGCACAGGCGATGAGAACTTGAGCGGTGGCGGGAGAGAGACGCACACACCCACCGTAGTAACCCGTTTCGAGTGGCCGTTCCTGGGTCCCGATCTTGCGACCTTTGCGCGCGGCCGGTGCTGGCGTTGGCGTCGGCGTTGGCCGTGGCGGCGCTGAGGTGGTGTCGATGACCGACTGACATCGACAACATCGCACCCGCACCGTGCTCATCGCTGCAGGCGGCGTCGCGTATTCTATGTGCGAGCTGCACTGCGTACATGTCACCTGCGTGTGTGCCACAACCGGGCGCGACTCGATCACATCTGGCACACCCATCCGTAGAGAGGAGCTCGGCAAGCTGTTGCAGCGGAGATTCATTGCACTCTCTGTTCTTTGAGTGGCTGCGATACGATGGCTTGCATCCTACGCATGATTTATTTGCCGTGCTCATTGGCTATGGTTTGAACTTATTGGTTGCAGAGCACGGCGTGAATGCGTGCATGGTGGAGCTGGTGCCGTCTACAGTTGCCCGACGCTCCGCCCTGCCTTCCCTCTACCATCATGGCTGCAGACGTTCCCGTTCTCTGTCTCGAACCTGCAGACGATACCCCGCCCGGCTCAAGCACAAAAACATCTGGTGACATAGACTCTGTGGCCCAGCTCCTGGAACCCGCCATCGCACCCCAACTCTGCGTGTCCAGCGATCCTCTGCCACAGTTAAGCGCGATCAGCAGCACATACTTGAACGCCACGAAATCGATAAGACAGCAGCAGCAGCAGATGTAGTCTCCCCTATCCTGGTTATTGATTCTGGTACTTAACTTTGCGCTGCGCAAGCCTTTGCAGTAAAGGCCTTGCAACCGCAAACCCGCCCCCGCAACTCCTTCGCCTTGCCCAGCAGATTTTCCACCAAAACCGTTGGATGCCGTTGATACAAATCCTGCAAAGCTCCTGTCACACACTCAAGTATTTATTGACCCAGAGCGAACATGTCGGTCCCCTCGACAGTCACCGAGGATGAAGGACCGCAAAGCCAGGTCGATCTAGCAGCGTCGCTCGTCGCTGCTCATACGCATCGGCGCAAGTCAATTCCGACTCTGCTAGCATTCGGGCTTCCGCGCTACCTACCGCGCGCGAGAAGGTCGTCGAGAGCGCAAAGTCGGTCATGACTGCATGTTGAACATGGAATCCAATTCCTGCCACGATCTCTGGCGTCAATAGCAACAGCCTGGCCGGAGCGCGATTTTATCATCACTTCTGTCACCCTATGGATGCACACGACGACGGTTCTTCCCCCCGCTCGGCCTCCAACACTCCGCTATTGCTACCAAAGTCTTTCGCGCAATTTGACACCCGATAGCTACAATGGCAGCTTTGTTTGGTGACCAGTTAAGAACCCGAAGCGGCTCTC